GGTTCTGTTGTGTAATATGTAGTCAGTAAGATGTCAAATAACAATACTGTAGTGACAAAAGGAGGTGTTCATATCTGTGTTTGCAGGCAGAGAGAGCATTGTTGGAGTTAGCTTGTAAAAGTTCACCATGTCAAAGTCTTGTGGGATGGTTAATGACCTCAGAACAGCTATTCTGACATTATAGTGGGTTCTGTTGTGTAGTATGTAATTAGTAAGACAGTTAGACCAATGGAGGCAGTTCATTCTGTATTCTAAGAGTTGTTGGGGTTTTGCTATTAAAGGAGCCCCACGACAAAGTCTTCTGTGATGCCCAATGTGTGCTAAATCAACTCGGAATTGGCACGAATGTCTACTGTGTTCAATTTGTATTACCAATTATTCTATTATTGATTGATAATGCTGCATTTACTAAGTACGATTTTCAAATTTCTGAGTGGCAGCGGATGTAAACAAAGGATCGGTCTTAGGTTCCTGCCGATACTGATCAGTTGAAGTTTGCCCTGATTGACCAAGATATCCCTATAAAGAGTATTTGTTGTAAAGGAGAGGACTGTTCTTATTTTATTTTCTTAGTGTTCACGCATATCAGCATTCTTTGACTTCTGTAACCCAAGGCTTTTCATCCCTACCAAATATGTAAATATTCAAAAACAGCCAACCTGTACGTATTCCGCGTATCAGGAACACATTTTTGACATCAAAGCGCGCCGGTACAGAAATGGAAAGCCTTTGTTGTCATTGTAAGCTCTGCATGCATTAAAATGAGGAACTCATTAGCCTAGCAAGTAGCCTTCACATCTGCTTTCTGTTGCTATGAGTCTCCTGGACGTCCCTCGTAATTACAAGATTGTACCGTAATCCAAAGCAAATGAAGTCTCGTCGACTGTAAACAAAGCCTACTTGGCGGGGATTTGACTAAACTGTGCAGAAAAAAAGGCACCGAACCACCTATAAGCCGGCGACGCCTCCAGAGTTTGGCCATTCGTGACAACTCAGTGACGCCTGGTTTGTCAGAAAGCGCAAGAACAGTTTGACCAGCCGTGGCGCCACAGTCGCTCCACTCGAAAATAAAATGGGGCTAATTGACAAATGCATCATGTCATTAAGCCAGACTGAGATCTGCAAATCAACTGCAACACTCTTGACCTTGATTTCTCCAGCAGCTCCTCGTCTCTTTTGTCTGCCTCCTTCTCCTCCTCTCACCCTCCCATCGGCCTCCACCGCTGGGAGTCGGAGCTGAATTATTCATGCGGGGAAACATATATCCATGTTGGAAGCAACTGCCGGCGTTTAATAATTCAGATTTAACCGTTTCAGCCGAGCACGAGGCGGAAAGATTAGAAATTTGTGTATTTTCTTTGTACTAAAATTTCTCAATGTTTATGTGTTCAAATGGGTGTTTTTTAAGTTTCTTAGCGGGTTAAAATGAAGATAAGTTGTCGTCGTTGAGGCTGCTTGGTGCTATTTTGAGCAGAATTAAATTGTGCTGTGTCACTGCGAGTTTTCAGGCTCCGAATACGAGGATCAAACACCTTCCCTTTTCTGTGTCTCGAGGTATTTTTAGGACATGAAGGCGTCTCTTTCAGAATCCAATGCAGATGAAACAGGGGAGCAGTGCGGAGGGACGGCTTGTGACTTTAGAGATGCTTGAAAGGGCTAAATTTATGCGTTTGATTATGTTTGCGTTGCCGGTGGAGCTGTTTGTGTGCTTTGCAGAGCGATCAGATTGTGAATGTGTGTCAGCATGTGTTTGTTTTGTGTGTGCAGGATCTCCGAGGGAAGGTTGCGCTTTGATGTGTGGGTGTGCAGTGATGCTGAGTCGGTTTTATCCAGACAGTCTGTGTCCTGTGTAAACACTCGCCCACGCACCGACACAATCTGCGAGGAATCTTTCTTTTCCTCTTCGGTGACTCAGAGACGCTCGTAGCCTCGGCCGAGTCTCGTTGTGTTCACCGTCGGCGTGTGCTGCTTCTCAGTTTGCGTCCATTAGCGGCTAAATTTCCCTTTTCGATTTGTCCTTGAGCGGAACGCAGAAGTCCTGCTCAAGCACTTAAAGTAGCCTCGGCGCATTAGCTAGAAAGCCTGAATTGCTAAACGGCTATTAGCTCGCCTTGTGCTCGTTAAGCTGCTGTCAGACACGTGACCTTTCATATTACTGAGGTCATTCCACCTTAAATCATCGGCGGCCTTCTGCTTGAGCAGCTCTGGTTTGCTTGAAACTGTTTTATCATAAACTTTGGATGTTAAAAATTAGATCTGGGAAGTTTTAGCTGCATATATCAAATTATTTTGGAGATAAATATGTTTAAAAACTGCCCTCTGACCCAGTTTCAGCTGTTTTTTTTTCATATTGAAGTTTGAGGCTGTTTGAACATCTCAGGAAATATTAAAGAAGAAAACCTGAAGTGTTTGCTGTTATTTCTCGTCATGTCACTGATTCAGAATCTGCAATATTGGACAAGTAGATCAAACATTGTCTGGTTATGGTTGAGTTGAAATATGAAAACAAAAACTGGAGCCGCCATNGAAAGAGGCAGTTAGTTCCCTGTTGGGAAACAGAGAGCTTAGCCTAGTTTAGCTAGTAAGTTAGCACCATGACAGAGTGTTCTGTGATGCTTAATGACCTCCAACCAACTGTTCTGCTACTGTGACTTAGCTATTCTGATAAACTGGTTCTGTTGTGTAGTATGTAGTCAGTAAGATGTCCAATAACAATACTGTGGTGACCAAAGGAGGTGGTCAGTTCCCTGTTGGGAAACAGAGAGCATTGTTGGGGTTTAGCTTGTAAGCTGGCACCATGGCAAAGACTTCTGCGAGGGTAAATGATGTCGGGCCAGTTATTGTCACCATATATTGGGTTCTGTTGTGTAGTGGGTAGTTCGTACGACATCAAATAGCGATAGCATGACCCTCTAGGCTTCTGTTAATCCTGTCGTGACCAGGTGAGGTGGTAACTTCCATGCTGACAAACAGAGTCAGGCTTTAGCTAGTGAAGGGACATCTTAACAAATGACGCTGAACTACCTCCAACCAGCTGTTGTCACATTATACATGGTTCTGTTGTGTAATTTGTAGTCACTAAGATGACAAATAACAGTAGTTATTAAGCTCTTGGCTTCTGTTAATAATGTGGTGACCAGAGGAGTGGGTCAGTTCTGTGTTGGCGAGCAGAAAGCATTAAGTGGGTTTAGCTAGTAAAAGGGCACCGTGACAAAGACTTCTACAATGCCTATTGACCTCCAACCAACTATTCTAACATAACACTAGGTTCTGTTGTGTAATAT